AAACATCAAAGTCAGCTCTTCCCATCGAAATACAAATAGTGATGTAATTCTGTATGTCTTCATCTGCATAATGTATAATGGAACTTGCATAATTCTAAAAAAACATGGAGTGTAAATTAAATGCAGAGCTATGCTAAGTGCTAACAGTAGTGCGCCAAATTGAGGATTACTTAGAAAATGCATGTACGCTGTACCTCAACATTTCATGGGCACAAAGGGTCAGTCATGGTGGAAAATAGTGCTTAGTACAAATGATTATTTTCTAGAGAACTAAACCCTATCATCATGTGAAAAGGTATGGACGTAAGTTCACTAACTTTGGTGTTCATCAAGTCTCTGCCTTTTTTTAGACCATGGTGTACTGTTTGTATAAACAAGCATTGCCATCCTCTTCAAGTTCTTTCTGATGTTCTTCTACAAGACTCACACTTCAAAAGTGCAACACAAATATCCCTGTTTCCTATCTATCAGGTGATTGTAGGCCTGTAACTCATCTTTTAACAACATGTTCTTTTCTCACAAGCATATAGCATTACTGCGACCATTAAGGGGGGTTTTCAACTAAAAATATGCATAGAAATACCAAGTACTCCCTCCGTTCTAAAATATTTGTCGTGGTTTTAGTTCAAATTTGAATTAAAACCACAGGTAAAGATATTCAGTAAATACAAAATATGGAAGTGGGAATACATCAACTACCAATGTTGATCCAATAATATTGGAGCAGAGTGGGACAATATAACAATGCTATCAGGGATCCAAAAGAGGCAACATCAGAAACTTACCAGAAGTTATCTTGTACTCACTATTAGCAAACGCCCTCACCAAATCACCCTACAATCAAGAGGAGCAACTCATCAAACTGAACATCTCAGAGAAGAGCATCGTAGGTAAAATTAATTCAGAACTATCGGCATATAAAATTCATGTGTCAGTGGCATTTGGAAAAAATTGCAATTGCATTTCTATCAGGTAGATAATAAATATGATTGCCTGCAAGCTCACAAATGGTGAAACAAAAACAATAAAACGAGATCAGCCTATCAGGACACCAAGAATGTAAAAATACCCTAAGTAGTTTATCTTTATCACAATGGAAGGGAGAGATTTAGCAAGCATATACAAGTCACAAGATAAGCCACACGATACTTCTAGACTAGAGGCTGGCAAATCAGGTTCAAATCAAAATAGTGGTAAAAAATGTCAATATTTCGAGTTTAAAGGCCAGCTTTCAGTAATTAAAAAGGAGGATAACTGACCCGCCATAGTTAGCTTGATAAAACTTTCGAGTTGCAAAAAAAAAAACAGTTCAGCAAATAGTTTTCTAAGGAACTGGAGAAAATCCCACTTCCATTAATCAGCTTCCATTATTTTCAACCAAACGATGGAAATGGGTCTCAACTGGAGCTGGGAGAAAGAGTGTCTTCCTAGGTGGGTCCTTGGACGAACTTTTTGTGTCAAAAGTTGGGTTTGCTTCCTCCATTTGCAAACAAATGTTATACTATATTGTGTTTGGTATTTTGGAGACTTGAGTACTACACAAAACTTTGCTTATATATTGATCAGATGAGCTTGGAGTCTGAGACACAAAATTGCCCCTAAAGTATACTTGCTAGCAACCTGTCGACCATTATCATCCATAGGAATGCATTCTGCAGCAAGATGAGCGCCAAGATCATCAGCCGTAACCAAGTACTCATACATCGTAGCACCTGAATTGCAGAACATACAGGACTAGTCAGTATAATTACTTTTTATATAAATATTACTTCCTCCATTTTTATATACAAGGCCACAAACTAAGATTACAAGTACCAAGGTAAAACTTAATGCAAGCTTGCTTTTCTTTTCGTTTATTGGGCTAATTAATATGCTACATGCATGCAAGAAAATTGAGTGGAGGAAGTAGGTAGTGTCATTATGACTGCAAGCATGCAAGTAGTAAACAGGTTGCTAGTACGAGGAAATCTCATTAATTCTTTCCTCGATTACTGTTGGTGGCCTTGTATAGATGCAAAACGTATACTCCATAGTGGCCTTGTATAAGTAAATGGAGGGAGTATCATATTTGTTGTAGAAAAAAAATCCCTTCTTTACCTTCAATAGGCTGCCTTGTGCCATCTTCAAAATAGCGAACCCACTGAAAACAACATTCCCAGGTGAAAGGTTCATTGCAGGATTTGCAAATTCACAGAAAAGAATCACAATCCAGAGTCAGAATAGAAGATACCTGGAAAATAACCAGTGTAGCACCTTTTGTAGGGAAACAACATGCTGTTAAAGTAAACCTTGGTCTAGGATTGCCGTCAATTTGAAATCCCTCCACACCAGGTAATGGATAATCTAGGTTAAAAGTATGTATATATATATATATATATCAATAGATATGATCTGGAATCTTTTTTAATTATCAGCTGAGTACTCTTGATTATCATTCCAATAGAATTGTGAGTCATCACCTAATCTTACTTCACTAGGACCAGAATTTCCTTCAAAACAATTAGAGTACGTAGTAGCTACTGTATCCCTGTAAGGTTGTGTCAGGCAAGAAAAGGAGGTTAAAAAAATTCCATGTCAATAACATATTAGACCAGATGGCCCATAACCATAACTAACAGATAACATGTCAATAACATGTCAATAACATGGCAAGAAAAGGAGGTTAACAAATTCCATGTCAATAACATGGCAAGAAAAGGAGGTTAACAAATTCCATGTCAATAACATAGTAAACCCTGGTCTAGGATTGCCGTCAATTTGAAATCCCTCCACACCAGGTAATGGATAATCTAGGTTAAAAGTATGTATATATATATATCAATAGATATGATCTGGAATCTTTTTTAATTATCAGGTGAGTACTCTTGATTATCATTCCAATAGAATTGTGAGTCATCACCTAATCTTACTTCACTAGGACCAGCATTTCCTTCAAAACAATTAGAGTACATAGTAGCTACTGTATCCCAGTAAGGTTGTGTCAGGCAAGAAAAGGAGGTTAAAAAAATTCCATGTCAATAACATATTAGACCAGATGGCCCATAACCATAACTAACAGAATTTCAAATGTAAAATGAGCATACTGATTAAAAGTGGGTCCATGGTATATTTGCTCAGTGTGTCGATCATTTGGATCTTGAGCATAGTCAGGGGAAGTGTTCCTATTCGCCTCCTGTAAATAGAAACAATCATACAAAGAGCTACAATGTTAAAGAAGCAAATTACGGGACCATGTTATAGTACTATATTGAAAGATGAGCAAGGTTCATTTCTTGATATATATATATATATATATATATATATATATATATATATATATATATATATATATCCCGATTGAGTTATACTGCAGTAACTCTCATGGATTAGTATAATGAATCACCTGGGTGTCCTAAAAAACACAATATTTTTATAGATACTAATATAACTAGTTTTTTAAACTAGTAAGAGGCTTGAAAAAAGTAAGATTGTTGATCAAATATTTTTGCATTCTAATCCTATATATAACTAAATAGGTGATCCCCACTAACCCATTTCACTCAACATGCAGACATGTTCAACATGGAACCATGCATGGGAAAAGGTCCACCTAAAAATGCAACCATGCAAGTCTTACAGCTCACAAAACGGAGCAGAATAAAGTATCAAAAAAAGGAAAAATACATGTGAACCATGTCAACCGGCACAATGAAGATAAAAAGGATAAGCTCTCTAAACTCCTATCCTGTTATGTGAGCGCCATCCGAACCGGTTGAAGATAACCCGAGCTACCATCTCCCATTGGTTGCACAGCTACCATCTCCCATTGGTTGCACCCAGTAACCAAAGGCTCCCTGGAGTCCATAGGAGATAGCCGCATGCATCATCATGATGCAGAGGCCGGGGGCATGCCTCCATTTCCAAAAAAAAATGCTTTCCATTATATTATTCAACTTATATTCCATAAATATTATACAATAAATCATGTGTTTTTTTCAGTTAGCATACTTCAATAAGCATTTGTTCAGATGAAAGTTGTGCACCCTTGATTAAAGACAAAATTTTGATGTAACTACAAACATGTGAATTTCTTGCAATCTTGGTGCAAGAATGCCCACACATGTCTCGGAGCTGCAATGCCCACCCACACACGTGAAATCTATATGTGCCAAACTGCCAACTAACAGCAGAGCCAAGAAAAGGAAGCTTCAAATGATCAAAATATTACTGGTGCACTGGATTGGATTTAAGATGGCAATGGGTTAGGTATAGGGTGGGCATAACAACCCCATACACATGCCCGACGTGCTAACAAAAGAACAAATTGAATAGCTCAAACAAAGGACTTCATGCACAGGCGCACATCAAACAAATAAAGTTCAGAAACATGCAGAGCATCAGCTGTTCAACAGCAACACACGCAGCAGTTTGGCCCTACATGTCAGCTTGTCGGGGTGGATTCTGGCATGCTAGTGGGCACAGAGATGTACCCATGCCCTATCCATAGGAAAAAGAAGAAGAAGAAGAGTACAGTTTAAGACGAAGACACTGTGTTAATAGCGATCAGTACATACCTGAAAATTGAACAAGTCCATCCTTGCCGCAAAATACTTAGTTTCTGTCTCGTTCAGTCTATGGACAATATCATGTATAGCTGGCCTTTTGTGTCGATCCTCCTGCACACAACTTAACCCGATTTCAATGCATATCTTTACTTGCTCGGAATATGCGTTCCTCAGATTCGATGTTTCAACTAGCCTATTCGTCCAGTTTTTCTGCACCTACAGATTTGTAGCAAAAAGAATGGCAATATATTAGGATAACCAAAGTATTACTTATGAAATGCATACACGTGCACATCTCTTGATAAGAAAACATATTCTGTTACAAAAAAACATATTCTCTTACAAGATTAATGAATTCTTGAGAAGACATGTCAGCACTATTGAAGTAGCCCGCACGTCCTGCCATTATCTTTATGATTACAACACCTAAGCTGAATATATCGAACTTATTTGAGATCAAATTTTTTTAATGTATTCCGGCGGTAAGTACCCACTGCATCACACAACATATATAAATGTTACTTATACTATACATTTGATCCAAACAAAGTTACCTTAATTTTCAGTTCACACGAAGAATTCTTACATTGTTCCTAAAGTACTTTTTGTAGCTCGTGTCTGTTCATCTTTGAAGAGCCTTGATATCCCAAAATCTGCAATTCTGGGAACCATGTTCTCATCCAGCAATATATTGGCTGGCTTTAAATCAAAATGATACATAGGAGGTTTTAATTCATTGGGTAGGTAATTTAAACCCTGGCAAATCCCCTTAATTATTTGATAGCCTTTCTGCCAATCATATCTATCACATTCATCTGCGGCACCAAATAAGGAGAATTCTCAGGATGTAAATTTTAAGAACGATACCTTAACATGCTAACTGGAAAAAAAGGAGAACATCAACATTACCAGAAAGATACTTTTCAAGGCTTCCATTAGACATATACTCCAAGCAGAGCGCCCTATGTGTCTTTTCAGCAAGAACCAATTTCCCTTCATGCATTACTTGTACTTCCTGAATATCATGGCAATAGCCTACTAAGCGCACAATGTTTGGGTGCTGGAGCCTTGTAAGATTTTTAAACTCGTTCTGAAAGTGTTTATCGTCAACTCCAGGCATATCATAGAGCACCTTCACAGCAATCTTTTCCCCGTTTTGATGCACTCCCTACTCAACATTTCACATCGTTTAATTTTCAGTTCATATAGTAAAACAGAAAATGCTGTGGTCAAATGCGGTGATGCAGAACATTTACTGCTACATGACAATATGTGAGTTAATCAATTAACAAGATCAGTAGAGAAACAGATATAGCTTTCTTCATTGGTGCAGGAACTGCTCATCTGAAGAAGCACTGGGACATCATGCTGACGGGGATGGTTCTTTTTTGGGAGAGAAGGAGGGTCACCAATCTTTTACAATGACAAAATCACCATATTCCTTTTCGTCTAAATGATGGTAGTGTATAGTTGTATGATACTATCGATGTCAGGAAGCCATATACACAATTAAGCTTACCAAGTACACCTTTCCATATGAACCGCTACCAAGCTTCCGCTCCTCGGAGAAACCATCCGTAATCTCTCGTAATAAATCGAGTGGCATAACTGTTGGCTCCGAATTTGCATCCTCCATGCTGTTACAGAAGGAAATAAAACTTACAGTATATCTGTATATTTTACGGGTCGAATAAGCAACAGCACAGGCTTCTGAGCAGTTTAAACCATCTTCTCCTTATTGACCTCTACGAATAAGATCCAAAATACAATAGAGATAAGGATAATGGGATAGTTTGGCATGAACGTTTTTTTCGAGCTCATACAGCAAAGATCGACATGGTAATTTAGATTTGGGCACAGAGCAAAAGGTCGTCAAGTGCAGACAAGACAGTACGACAGAGCTGTTCCACAAAATCATCCGATGAAATCGAGGGAGTGGGGAAAGCGCTAACCTGGGAACGACCTGAGTCGAGAAGGATGCTGCTAGTCAACGGCAGTGGTTGGTGCAGTGGAATTATGGAGAGGCACCTCTGTTTTTCTCCCCGTAAAAGCAGCTTGACAAGTAGGGGCCGCAGGGGGTAAAGAGTAGCTCGGTGGAGGCGGCGGCGCCTGCTGCTGGCCGGCCGAAGATTGGAGTCCAGGGAAGGTCGGGGCCTGCTTCTAGCTGGCGGAGGTCGCGGTGGCCGGAGAGACTGGCGGCGGCGAGCCCGGAACAGTAGCCGAATGTCACACCCACGAAGGGATCGACCTGGATTACCTCCGATGTGTCCCTGTCGATGAGAAAAGAGAAACAGTGGCTGCTTTGCCTGTTAGGTCGAGAACAGAGTGGGATGTTGGCGGAGAACAACTCACTGGGAAGAATATTTGAAGGGAAATGATCACGCGGCCGATCCAGACCGGGGCTTCCACCGCCTCTAGCGCCTGACACGTGTTCCATGTAGACCCCGCACCGCTCCATCCTTCTTATCCGTGTTTGCGACCGACCTCTGTTGCAAAAGGGTTCTACAATATGCCTTGAAATAAAAAATATTTTTGCTGCAATAATGACGCATGTCCCGTGTGGATCCTGCACCACTCCATCCTTCTTATTCCCTTCTGCATCAGGATCTCTGTTGCAAAAGGATTACGTAAAATGCCGTCTGTTGTAAAAGAAAATGAAAAATATTTTTGCAACAAGACTCTTGCTGCAAAAGGCCAAGCGCAACGAAGCTGTTGTTTCAGAGATAGGAAGGAAAAAAAAAAGATCACAGCAAGGCTGTTGTTGTAGAGAGACGAGCACAACCTTAAGCTTGTTGCAAGATCTGACGGTTATCTCTGCCTCCATCTGAGGGTCTGGGAAGCGATGGATCTTTTCAAGGCATCAACCAGCAGACGCGTAGCATGGCCCATATTTGAACAAGAGAATGAGAGTTTACGAAAGGAGTTGTATTGAGATTAGACATGTGATGGTTATTTTCATAGTACAAATTATGTGTGGAACTTTCAGGAGCAATTTTATTCTTTTGTTTGGTTCCTGGGGGAGATGATGAAGACTATGTCTTCTTGAGAATGACTCGTAATTTTTTTCAAATTTGGCGAATATTACAGGTACAATGCTTTGGATCATAGACTCAAGAGACTACAAAGCAACTCCTATAACTAAGCTTTGCAAAAAGAGAACTCATATAACTAAGAATTACAAGGATATCTCAGAAACATCCTCTCCAAGGTATCTATCTTTATGACATGAAATATTCCCAAGGCTTCAGCAAATCAGGGATACTGCCGCTCCTATACTTGTCAAATGTACTTGAGCCGAGGATGACCAATGGAGGTATAAGGCATCGAACTACAAGATCTTCACCATAATAACAAGTGACTCCAAACTCACAATAGATCATATCAACAAAAGCAACCAAAAGTACTAACACCGACTCATCAAATCCAGATGAATGAATCTGCGAGGACATACGCCTAAAATCCACACTGACAGATACACCAAATCCTATAGAGACACAAACTCTCTGGTTCTATGGTGCCACCTGGAAAGACACCACCACAGTTGGAGAAGAACCAGAATACATTTATTCTCAATGGCATCGCCCCCCCCCCCCAAGATGTTGTTGATGAAGACCATATAAATCATGCTAATCTCACTTCTAAGTATGCCTATGAAGATCTAAGATCCCCCTCACCTCACAACACGGCGGTCAAAGACAAATGGAACATGCAAAGTCTCTGGTGAACCTCAACCCCTAGCTTCTTTCGTGAGTTAATGAGGGATTAGATAAGAGAAGATAATGTAAGTTATGATGAAGGATTGCTTTCCAACTCCCACCCTCTACCTTGTTAATAAACAGGAGTTAGAGTCTCAATTCCCATGCCTAGTCCCTTCCCAGTTCCCAATCCACCTAATGAGTCAATAAATTTAAAGTCTTCTACCCCTTCAATTACCATTCATTAGCTATAATTACACTAATATATAAAACATGATGTCATTGGCAGCATTCCCTTGTACACGCACTCACTCTAAAATATAAATGGTTATTCCTCAAGGGATCAAGCAGGAAGTGGGTATGAGCATGGCTGGATTTTTATGGAGTGGTGATAAGTTTAAGAGGAAGTACAATTTTCGTGGGTTGTTCTAAGATTTATCTCCCAAAAACTTATAGATAGTTGGGTATTCTGACTTAAACATTATGAACATATCACAGTGAGCAAAAATAGCTATGGAAGCTTTTCAATGAACCTGAATTCAGCCATGATTTCTCAGCCTCAGAAGTATCTTAGGAGTACTCTCAATGCTCATTTAATTTGTATGATTTTTGGAGGATTCTCGTTGGATTTTGAACCTCAAGAATTTTCCCTATGTATGGCATTCATTTAACAGGAATGGGGGTACTAGATTCCTTACGAGTGTATTCATATTGGCCTAATTCTTGAGGATTCTTAGAATTAAGGGGACCACATAGAAAATTCCTAGGGATTGGAGTGGAAAGGGCATATCAATCCTTTACTTTTCATGTTCCTTTCATTTGAAATTCTATAAACTGAATGAGCCGTCGCTCAAGTTAAAAAGCAAGTTGGAGGATTCTCATTTCTGGCAGGGGCTTAAACCACTCCATAAGATCAGCCATAAAATCATGGTACAAAATAGTGATAAGACTAGCTGGAATGACATTTAGATACATTGGGTAGCAGCTTGCAAAATCTACATTTTAGAGACTGGAACAATGGAACTAAGTGAAGAATCAATGTGGGAACGGATATTAAGTCTAATCCTGGCTAATTAATTTGGCCCTTCTCGCATAATTAATGGCCAATTTAGGATCAAATGCTTTTATCTAGAATAATTGGGAAGGAGCCCTACATGTTTTATGGAAGTGTGAGATTCCTCTTAAATTCATAACTTCTATTTGGCTTGTGATAACCCATGAGTGTGCGGGATCACAATAGTCCTCATCGAGAAGAAACACAACCCAAACTTATATTTGACACAAGGGGAACCAAAAAATATTTATAAGATTTAGCTATTGAGTTGTCATTTCGGTCCTAGAAAAAATGACTTGTTAGGGAGAATTTATTAGTAGCACGTGCAATGAAGTGATTGTTGTTTGATTGTAGAAAAAATAACTAAAGTAGCAATACCTGATTAGTGGATTTAATATAGTGTTTTAGATCCAATTTGTTACATATTTATGGTATAAAAATCCCTCATATCATGGTTCATATAGCCACTTGTGTGCCCATTTTGCATATCCACTAGTTTCGGTACCTTTCAATGCAAGAATTACATATTCCTTAGTTTTATTAGATGTTATTATCTTTCCCTTGTTATGTTGTGTGTGTCGGTGATTTGGAACACCCACATACTTTGCACGATGAAATGATCCAAGTTGAAATCAATCCAGAGAAGTTACATGTTTCAGATATAAGGCCCTTGGAGAGTTTGACAAGTTGAGCTTCCTAAATTAGCCCAAACTGAAGATCCAATACCATGAGATTGTCTTGCTCATTATGCAACATTATGTAAAGTCGTAGTTTTTGCATTGTGTGACACAAATGTGGTGGTTCTGTGTATTTTACTCAAGTTACAACTAAGCGAGCCTCCTTTTGATGCTCTATTAGTCATACTTCACTGACTATACAAGATCCACAAGTTAATTATATCTTTTATGGAACTTTTACCATACATTATCTTCTTTCCCGATCAGCCCTAAAACGATCAAGGATCTAGAGAACAACCTGATAAACTTACATACCATACCACCAGTTTACTCGATATTAGTGATTTAAAAGAGAAAAAGCAAGAGAATCAGATTTTTGAGAGAGCACACAAGTTAGTGATTAACAAGAAAAACCAGAAGGGTACTAAAACAAGTAGCTGTTTGAAATAGAATACCAGCTCTGGCCTTAATACAATCTACAGAGGAGAGATTTCAAATAATCTGACAAAAATGAACAACTTGTGTCGGATTTTTCTTTAGTTGGTCACCGACTGAGATTCCCAAGAAAATGGTTGAGCTTTACAACAAGGACATAGAAACGGACATAAAGGGGATCAAGACAGCCGGCGCATGGCAACATAGCCAAACGCAAAGGGAAGAATGCTAGGCAGCAGCATTATCCTGATGTTGGGGAGCAAGGTGAACGCGTCGGGCACGCACATACTCACGACATATCTGGACGAGTAGCCCTGTTCACGTGCTTCCAAACGTTCCAGTAGCAGAGAAGGTCAAATGTTTTGTGCTTTTCCGTCACAACAGTAAGCAAAATTCTACATCAATCTAGTCAGGGCAGCAACATCTCCAGACATGGGGACTTTGGCGCGCTTGATTGTAGACTATAATCTCTTGTCCACACGATTCTCTCGCTGAGCACTGTGGCACCAAATGAGGTTACACGCTCATCCATTCCTAATGCCCCCCATATCTATTACTTTTGTGATCGTCTATGACTTTAAACAGAATAAATTAGGCAAATTATTTTGTCTCTTGAGGAATACTACTAACTTATCTTTCTTTAGTCCACCTCTGGATAGCCAACCACAAACCATGGTGGATGAGAGATATCCTGCCTAGTTAGTTGATAACGATGAACCACTATGGATGAGAGCCATATATATGCACACATGCTGAATGACAGCTAGGATGGAAT